AATGCCCAATGGTGAAGTCATCAGAGAAAGTGTCTACAGATTGTCCTGCATTGCGGTGTACTCGCAAGTATTCACCTGATTTGCAAGGCAGACACCACACACCTCTATTGCAATTCACACATGTTTTTTGTTTCTCTATACAGGAAGTCAGCTGTCAAAATTTCAGCTAAAAGGAAAAGTAAAAGAAGCCAAAACAATGATGATGGTAGGAAAAATGCTATGAAGTATTTTTAATTCAAAATTAATTAAATATATTAAATATTATTTGTTTGTAAATCTGTTTCATTATTTGTTCATTAGGGCTGGGTGTTGGGAAGGACCTCATCTCATCCAATATTTCCATCATCCAAAAGGCCAATCGTTGTATTGTGCAGTTTGCCTTTTCACAACCTTCCACTCAGAAAACTAGTTCGCATTGTCTGGCATTTCACAATAAAAGTTCTGTTTCAGGTTTTGTTGTTGTTTCTCCCTCTCTGAAAACATGGAATTGACTTTGTTACTGGAGTATTTGAGGGTGTATAAATATCTTTCATTTTGTCCTATGACAAAGTTTCATTTTCACCTCATTCTAGCCCCATATATTCAAGCTAGTAAATAAAGCACAAGCATGCCTACATGTACAAAAGTAACCCCAAAAACTTTTAAATACCAAAATAATAGAACATTACACACAAATAGGTACCCCCTATATTCATTTTGAGCTAAACATGTGAGCTTTTAACTTAGAGGCAAAGCATGCTGGGAACTAGAAGTCTGTTGTAACCACTGATTGTAACTCATTCCGTGAATGGGTGTATATGTGTGTATAATAGGCTACATTCACATTTATGGGAACAGGTATGTGCACTATATGTACACAAAGGATAAAACTTTGTGAAAATTACATTTAATGCTATTTTTGTCTTCATTTATAACTATTTAATATGTATCATTTTATAGCCATACATGGTCAATGCATATATTGACAAATATAAGCACTAGTTTCGCATATGTATATGAAAGGTATTATGTAATATATTATTATATTTTGCAGTATATTCCCATATATTTTTGTTCCATAAGGGTAACCTTTTAATCCTTGTAGTACTCAAGGAATATAGCCAGCTTTGGTGTTAAGAATAACCTTACAGCTAAATTTTTTTTTCATAATCTTCGTTCAGTGAATGCATGCATATTATCTTTAGTTCGTTTCTATGGTGGTTGCTATTGATGTTGCTATCGCTGAAACCCATAAACCACATAGCTTGCTTGCTTGCATTACGTACTTCCGCCCGGAAGTATTTTCTTCACAGGCACGCTTTTTTTTAATGATATCTTCAACATTTCTCCACAGAAAAACAAATTGATAACTCAACAATATGTTATGTTCATGTTAAAACTATCACTTTTAATAATTTCTCCTGGGGAAAAAATCACAGCTTTTGGTAGCATAAGGTTATGAAGTGCATTGTGTTGTGGGCGGAGTTTGCGCGATATTCTCCTGTTTTGGCTAAAATATCTGAAATAAACCAACATATCTACTTTTTGTTAACATAGAACATCTAGATGAAGTGTAATTACTAGTTCGGCTGTACTAGATATTTAATATATTCAGTAGATATATCTTTTTACAACCCTATTTTACAATCCTACTTTGCAAACCAGAAGAACTACAACTGTAGTGCTGATTTGTATCATGCTGCATGGTGTGGATATAAGGGAATTGTAGTTTTTAAAACATTAGTGTTTTTCTTACAATTGGAGGTTGTAAATAGTGAGTTGAGAGTATAGTGGGGGGTTTAGTGGGATGGTAAACACATCTATGTAATCAGATTTTAAATATCTAATTGTTAAATGGGGTCAAATTAATTACCCCATATTTTCTCCATATTTGGTTAACTGTCCCCAGTTGTTGACTATACTTGACTATGTTGACTATTAGGTCCAGGGCTCTCTATAACAGTTGGTCCCATATCTGTAGCCCCTTATTGCTGAATTATAAGCCTTCAAACATGCACCGAGGTGAAGTTTCAAAGGTCAGTGTTTCAAAGCTAATTTAGCCAGCAGCCATATCACCCTGTAGCCCAAGACTGGTTGCCCACTGAAGCTAAGCAGGGCTGAGCCTGGTTAGTACCTGGATGGGAGACCTTCTGAGAAAACCAGGTTGCTGCTGGAAGAGGTGTTAGTGAGGCCAGCAGGGGGTGCTCACTCTGTGGTCTGTGTGGGTCCTAACGCCCCAGTATGGTAATGGGGACACTATACTGTCAAAGAGCACCGTCCTTCGGATGAGACGTTAAACCGAGGCCCTGACTCTCTGTGGTCACAAAAAAAAATCCCAGGATGTCTTTCGAAAGAGTAGGGGTGTAACCCCGGCATCCTGGCCAAATTTGCCCAGTGGCCTCTGTACATCATGGCCTCCTAATAATCCCCATATATATATACCAATTGGCTTCATCACTATGTCTCCTCTCCACCAGTAAGCTGGTGTGTGGTGGGTGTTCTGGCGCAATATGGCTGCCGTCGCATCATCCAGGTGGATGCTGCACATTGGTGGTGGTTGAGGAGATCCCCCCTTCTATGTAAAGCGCTTTGAGTGCCAAGAAAAGCGCTATATAAATGTAATGAATTATTATTATTATTATTATTAAAGCACCATGTAGAATCTTCATACTAACATGTTACTCTCCAGGTCACGGCCTTTCCAACAATGTATTTGGTTCAGCTATACAACAAAGTTTTAATTTTCATTTCACGGACACAAGCATCTCAGGTCTAGTTTCAGGGAGCATGCAGGCTCAATATATAAAATTACCTTTTTGTTTGTTTCTGACTGTGTAAACAGATTTACAAGCACGCACACACACACACACACACACACACACACGTTTGTATCCATCTTTGTGAGGACATTCATTGACACAATGCAATCTCTAGGTCCTTACCCTAACCCTACCCATCACAACTAAGTGTCTGACCTGAACCCTGACCCTAAACCTGCCCAAATCCTCATTATAACCTGATCCCTAAAACCAGCTCTTGACCCTCAAACTGAACTGCATCAGTGCCCATGGCATGGGTGAGAAGGTACCATTGACACAGGGGCATATATTGGGATTGTATATGCCCCTTCTGGCATGCTTTAGCTCCTCCAAACCACCTGAATTGTCTTACATGGTCTGGATTATATAATGTAGTAGCCTCAATAGCCGTTAATAGTTGATAATCAGATGGATATGGTCATAACATTTACTTTGCATGGCCTCAGATTACTGAGCTTCTTAAAATGATATTTCAAGTTGGGTTGTTGCTAAAAGGTAAATTGCATTACTGATTGTTAATATTGCCATGTTGTTTGTATTCAAAGCAATCTGACCCAACCCTGCTGAAATGGTGGCTATCAGTGTCTGGACCTTTGCAACGGAGTCCTTAAGGTACTGACAGTGCTGCATCATCTCCTTCACAAGGATCTGCTTTTCTTCCGTCAGCCGTGAGACCAGCATTAGTTGGTCAAAAAGCTTCTTCTTGGCGAGAATGTCTATACCGTCTGAAGGAATGAAAACATCATACATTAATAAACTATTTTGACGATGAGACATTTTAAATAAACACAAAGTTAAATATTAATACAGCACCTGTGTTCTGTTCCTGCCAAGGCCAGATCATGCTCTCTGCAGCTTTGTTGGAGAGTTTCTGCCAACTGAGTGTGTGTCCACAGGATCACCATCAGGTTGTTGGTTGGATCTCTGGATCTCATCTAGCAAGCGCTTCTTTTCTTGGGCAATCTTCTGACGCCTTTTGTTGCGATCTGTAATAAGAGCAAAAACAATGGTATTACAAAAGAGCTGCCATAGCATTTAATGAACAGAAACAATATAACTTCCATCTGCATCACTAAAATTTTCTAATACATACCATTCTGTCTATAAAGGTAGTGCTTCATCTGCCAAATGCTCACAAAGAGTGCTTCGATGGAGATCAACAGCAACAACAGCAACAGACACAATTTAGGGCAACAATTAGGGACCAAGCAACATAGGCGAAGAGACAAAGGCATCTAATCTGTGTGATATCTTTTTTTATCATCACTTTTCAAGAGTCTGTGTTTATGAGAGTCCATAGTCCACAGTCTTTCTTTATGAAAGTCATTGATGGGGGATTATGTCCCCTAGTTATTGCACACATAGAATTTGGTGACGCCATGACCTTTATTGTAGCTCCACCAATAGGCCAAACTTTCAAAGATGAAAAAACCCTGATATCCTCTGAACTGACAGAAGTAACATGTGGTGCTCTTGCGGATTAAGAAAAAAGGTGAAATCCTTAGGTTCATAGTTTTCTACAGATCTAGTTTCTGTTTCCAATGAGAAGCTAAGATACTTTCACCAAGAATGAGAACCAACAAGTGCCTTTTGAAAATATCAGAATTACAAGCGGAGCATGCATGAATGCTGCAAACATGGAGCCTTAAGGCTGATTTATACTTCTGTGTCAGACTCGGACCTACGCCGGAGCCTCTATGCTATAGACTACGCGTTGGTTTTCATTTATACTTCTGCGTCGTTGTCTGCGTTTAATTGAACTAATTGAAGACTTCAATAGTCTAATTAAAGACTTATGACTTGCAAATAGTGTCCATCCCCACATCATAATTTAACATTAATCTACAGCTACATGCATTACAACCAAATTACTCCAACAGTGTGTATGACCACAACACAACTTTGCCCTTACCGCTACTGACCCACTGCTTTATCATGTCATCACTGCAATGCAACTGGTCCTGCATCTTCTGCAGGCTCTCTGATGCATCTAAGGTGTTTTCTACTGTCTGCAAAACGGCAACACACAACACACTGTCATTTCATAAAATACCAAAAAGTACATGTTCCTGCCTGATTTAATATAATGACATATTCGACAACATATACATAGCTTAAGTCATGCCTTTTGGGTGGACTTTAAGCTCAAATTTAACGGTTTAAAATAGTCCATTCTTTTTCAATACATGAACATACCTTTTTGAATCTGTAAGACAAGGCAATGTGGAGGCCATTCTCTTTACGTTAATTCCACCCAATAGCATGGACAGTAAGCATATCAGTTCTTACTGTAAAGAACAATAGAAAAATCACGATAAATTGTAAAATGTAATGTGTACATTTGCAGGGGAGCAGGGGGCAAAGAAGCTTACAAACCTGACTTGGACATATACTTTGTGGTCAGGGCACATCTGGAGAGAAAACTATTGACTTGCTCTACTTCTTCACCAAGAGTGGTCCCGGCACCTTCCTGGTTCCTTGCATTCCACAGAATCTACAGGAAGCAGTGGACTTGTTAAACAGGGTGGACAACAGGGTGATCAATATTGATGCATATCCCAAGGTCACCAGCTGTAGAGGACAGCACATAGGGCCTCATGTACAACTCAAACACACTCCTGGGTTGTTGTTTGGGTCACAACATCATTCATTGTGGTACTTTACTTTAATTGTTGACTACATCACTCTGAAATGTAAAAGTAGTTAAAAGCATCACCTCGCATTTTGTATTGTGGGCTTTGGCATGCATCACGGACAAGCAATGTCTCATTTTCTGAAGAGGTTGAAGATGAGTCAAGGCCTCTGACACCATCTCCAGGTATGGGACATAACGGCAGGTCACATCCATGGCCAAAAATGCAGCACCCTGGAACTCTTTTTGGAGAAACATTGGATATGCAAAGATTTCTCCTCTATACATATTCAGACCTTTTGGAAAAAAGAATTAAGTAGAGAGCACATTGCACACTGAAGAATAGGCTTCAGATGTTTCATCTACAAATATTTTTCATTGGAATTTATCAAGACCAATACCAACCTTTGAGGAGGAATCCATGCCTGCACACAGCAATTTCTACACCTTCTTCATCCAACTTGTTGGCCTGCTTTGATGTCTCTCTTGCTGCTGTCCAGTGGGATTCCCCACACATCGCTCTTCCTGCCGTCTACCAAAGTAAAAAGTAAAAAGTTAAACAGCAGGGCTGCACGCTCAAACACACCAATAATTACAGACTGATTAGATTTTGTATTTGATTGCCTGACCCATCTTCCATCTGCAACTCCCTGGAGTATAACAAACCAATTGAAATTATTTGCCATTTCGCATGCAGGAGGATAATTGCAATAGTCTAACTTTGTCAGAAATTGTGTCAGACATACTGTATGTGCGGCAACCAATACTATAGATATACTGTGCCCTCTGGATTAGAATCTAGTTGCATTTTTTTTCATCCAGCTCTGCAACTTCACTCTTTGTGAAAGTCCGATTGCATCGCTAACCTCAGCAACCTGCCATTGCCATCTCAAAGATTCCCTCATCCGGACACCTAATAAGGCTACAGTGTTTCCAACTTTACTTCCAATTAGTTATAAAATAAGCCAGAGATACCCGCTGCTCAGCCTGATTGAAAACTTACACTCTTGACAGCCCCCCGGACTTCCTCAACAAAACTGGACACCTCAGAGTCTTGGGACAAAAACACTCCATCAAAGAACCCTGGCTCTTCAATCCTACAACAAAATGTATTCTGGATAACCACTGTAGTAAGAAGTTTTACATAATAATAATATTATTATATACATAATAATTACATAATATAAATTGTATTCATATGACACTTATTTTTAAAAACAAGGTTACAAAGTCTAACATGGATATTATATTCAACAGCTACAGTACCAACAGCTTAATTTTAAATAACAAAATGAGAACTATATTATTATGATAATGTTAATAGCAAGTACCTACATTGGCTGTTTTTAAATGTGTACACAAAACTCACTGGTTTGCTTTCTGGAACCTGTAGAGTTTTCTGTTGCCATCCACTGAAACAGCCACCATTTCAGGACTACAGGCTGGACAGACAAATGGCTGCTTTTCCAGAAGTTGGTCCTCTTCAGAGTTGCAGTACACATATTGCAGAAAGCTCCTCTGAAAAGCATCTGAATTCACTTTGCCAGTCTGAAAAACAATTTATAGAACAGCTTTAAATGACAATGAACTACAAGCTCACCCCATTTATGGTTTGTCAATGTACCTTTTTAAACCCAAGAAAGGATGCAATTGGCAATGCTGTCTAATATGGTCTTCAGTTCAGTTAATTTCAGTAACCTGAAATATTACAACCACTTGTGGACCTTGACTTCATATGTGAGTATATTTGAATTTGTGCCCTGTTTGGACTTGAACACCCTTTTTGCCATACTGTCCAGCCTTACAGCTACTTATAATAACAACAAATGCATTTGTCTTTCAGCTTCAAATTTGTACTCACTCTTCCAAACCGCTTTGTTCTCTGGTCCAACATTGCTGTGAAGGCTTTCACTGACATTCCTGGAGCTGTTGTCTTCATAGCTTCAAAGGAATGGAACAGATCTTGGTTGAAAAGTGTCTGTGCTTGCATGGTAGGGGGCCAGTAACCACTCCTTACAAAGTCACTGACTTCTGGAGCCCATTGCTTATTACAATGTTTGCATGTTAGCACCGGAACGTGAAGATTATAACGGCCTGAGAGCACATGAAAGACAAATAACTAACAAGGAACTAAAGTAATATGTTAGATAAACAATTTTTTTTTTACCCAATCCTACCATTTATGCAAACCAGTATGATGGATCTACCAACAGATATTGCAACATCACCAGTGTCACAGGAGCATATATTTTGAGGAAAGGCTGTTGGCAGCAAACAATCTGCAAGAGCAAAGGACAATCAGGATGACATTAAAGAATATTTGAATTGTTAGCAAGTACTTGGAAAACATAATGAATAATTTAATGATGTTGTGTGTTGATAAAAAAAAAGCAAATCAACTGAAAGAGACACCAACCTTGTTCACAGATGATGTACTTATCATCATGGAGTTTCACAAACTCTGTTGGGGGAATGAATTTATAAAAGCCATACATGGTGGTCTGCCTACTCTGCAGAGTGTGGCGTTTATGTACCAATTGATCACACTCTGCACAAAACCACTCTGAGGGCAAACATTCCCTGCAACGGATGATGGCTTCTCTCTTGTGACAGTGGTTGCACTTCATCTGGACAATGTTCTCAGCTGACAACAAGTTATGAATGCCTGTTCCCAACATTGTTGGACCCCTTTCTGTCTTTTACACCAACTGGACAAAGATGACTGCTGAGCAAAATCTTGCCCATCAATGCTCTCTGAATCACGTAGAAGGTCCTCAAGCCTCTGCATATTAAAATCTTCAGAGAGAGAGAGAGAGAGAAAGAGAAAGAGAAAACTAAAAACATACTAGAAATACAACATTGCAATTCCACTACCACTGACGTCTTTTGAGGCATTTCCATTTCTTTTAATACAGGGACAGTCCAGTGATAGCAGAGAAGGCAGAGGGTGAAAGGATAGTTGGAAATGGGCAATCAGATCCATGACCCTTAAGATTCTGTGTAGGTGCTGGCTGTCAGTAGTGTTGCCCACTTAATTGTGAAACTAAACAACAACCATGTGATTTTGCTGAGAAACAGTGATGCTATTGTCTAAAGTGTTCCTATATCTGTCATGTTAACAGGGCTGGATGCACCATATTGTGGTTACTTTCATATTTGAGGCATGTTAGGGGACCGTGGAAAAAGCATTTAGAAAAGGAGCATCGTTAGATGACTAGTTACTAAGCATATAGCAAAAGTGCAGGTATAATGAGGTTTCCTTTTTACATAACTCCTTGTTTTCATTTGAAGCATACCATATTATGAAAAGTGTTTTTTAAGTAGTTTTTCTACTTACCAGGATCTTGGTAGCTAGTACATGAAGTTGTGATGGTGGAACTAGCACATGGAGAAGTACCAGTACCAAATGTTTGGAAGTAAAAATAACATAAACCACATAGTTTATGTTCTTATTAGATAATGTTCTTATTAACACATCTTATTAGAGTACAATTCTTTCAAACTCTTTGCCAGATGTACAAAAATAAAAGCTGAAACCTTTGGCAAAACTTGCAACATGGAAACTATCAAACATAAATGTATTTGGCATTATAATGTAATTTACATTATAAATGTGAAAGCATACAAAATATTGAGTAACAACAGCATTATCAAACCAGCTCCTACTCTAAATCACACATCATCACTCTCCATTTAAAGTATTTGACATACATTTTATAAGATGTACACTAACCAGCAGATGAACCTTTTTTCCTCCGTTTGCTGGTGGTCACACGCTGCCCATCACGGTCCCTCTTCCACCAGGTCACTTTAGATTGTCCTGTGACTTCATCAGCCTTCCGAGTTTGTAACTCTGTGTTACGTTTCTTTATGTACATGTAATGAAAAGTAGATTGGAGTTAATTAAATACACATTTGTGTTTAACAAGAATGAAACTTGCCTGTGTCTCTTCAACAAATGCATCCCCGTGCTGAAGAACAGCTTCTAGTTTACTCTTATTTTCTCTTGACATTCTACTTAATCAGATCTTAAACAAAAAATAAAGGTGTCAGTTAGATCTGCGATCTGCCTGCAACTTAAACTTGCTGACTATTATAATTGAATGGAAAGTTTGGACCACATCAGTGATATGAGGGTAAAGGTTAAAATTTAGCATTTTCCAGTAGAGGATAGTGGTGTCTGACTATTTGCAGGAGAATGCAAATTTTCATTACAACCTTTGGTTGTAACTAAATGATATTTCTGTATTCAATTGTTTATTTTACCTAGGCTACAATTATGTCACCTAACATATTAGCTATTATTATCAACTACAGATTCATGATTTTTTTTGTAAGCGGTTACTGTTTTTCAGCTGGAGAGGTCTAGGGTCTAGTCTAAATCTTGCTTAATTTTCCTTTACATTTAATCATTTAGCAGATGCTTTTATCCAATGCCACTTACAAATGAAGAGAGCAATAGAAGCAATCAAACCAAAAATGTGCACTTTAGGTAAAATGCACTATATATGATGACATTAGAAGTCAAATATCTTGGGGATAGGAGTCTAATCCAACCCTACAGTATCATGCATCTGCAAGCAACTAGTAATGTCTCCGCGTGCCTGAATTATTCCATACGCACTTTAGTCCACATTATTGACCCCTGCGGGGGGGGGTCCTGTAGGCTTAGGCTAACCATGCCACTTTAGCTAAAAACGTTAGCAAACACTAATTCAGTCTTTTGATTTGTAGTGGTGTCATCAGCCATGTCTAAAAGCCCAAGACCCATGTCACAAGTTCACAACATGATTAAAAAAAAACTGTTTTATTAATTTCAAACTGCAACAGGTCTGACAGATAGAAACAGATAGAGCGGCCCACTGTTCACTAACGTTAACTACGTTAATTTAAACGCATTCGCTGCAATTTTGACATGACCCCATGTAACGTTATGCAGAAACACTGTAATAATTAAAATAATACAGTTAACACCGTGATCTGATTACAAAATAGGACTGTTGCCCTTCCTTACCTGTTTAGAGATGTACGCGCATCAGGTGAACTGGGCGAACTGAGCTTCGCTGGTGACGTCATTGCCGTTGAAGGTGATGCATGGTATTTAGACGCATCTGCTCTCCACCAAAGTTAATGGGAAAGATTGGCGTATCATATGCACGCAAAATTGGACTTTGGCGTATGCATTACATGCAATTTGAAAGTGTAAAGTCGTGTTATTTATACGCAGATTGATGAGAACGGGTTGAATGTTTCATGTCATTTTTTGCCATATCTCCTTATTCTATAAAACTGTTGTATTTGTGTTTACTGGTGGGATTCTCAATGGGATTTGTCTGAGATCCACCGGCCATGCTTATTGCTTCTTTTTGGGAGATTCTCTGAGAACTTCTCGAGAACTCCCGGCCGTCATAAAGAGCATTGAAGGACAATTACTCAAGTCTGTCTGTTATTACTGCTGCACAGCAGGCCAGTTTAGGGAAGCAAAGAAGTTAGGGTAAGAGACTCAGCCAGTTGTCGATGGTAGACGCAGAGAGCTAGAGTATAAAGAAGTATTAAGTGTCGATTTGTAGACGCACAGTGTCGATTAGTAGACGCAACAGATTTATTTATTAAGTGTCGATATGTAGACGCTCGGTGTCGATTAGTAGACGCAACAGATTTATTTATTAAGTGTCGATTTGTAGACGCTAGATAGTCAGGGTTAGGAAAAAATCCATTACAACATCATAAGGAGACATCCGCCAGAAGTCCAACCCATCCTTAATTAATGTGTGACTGTTTGTTTTGGAACTCTAGGGAGAACCAATCAAGCCACCCATCGGATCGTAACAACGGATGCGATACCAGTTTGGTCGAAAGCCTATAGGAGTTTCTCCCTTAAAGAAAGAGGTTATGGAAAGGGAGATCGATAAGATGAAGCAATAAGGTATCATTGAGCCGTCTCAATCCCCTTGTGCATCTCCAGTAGTATTGGTCCCAAAGTTAGACGGCAGTCTAAGGTTCTGCGTGGATTATCGCAGACTTAATTCCAAAACTCCCCAAGAGGCATACCCGATGCCTCTCATCCATGATATTCTCATTGCATGGTGCCCATTATTTCAGTACCCTTGACTTAAAATCTGGATCCTGGAAGGTCGAGATGGAAGAAAGCAGCAGGGAAAAGTCAGCCTTTATAACCCCCTTTGGATTGTTCCATTTCTTGACCATGCCCTTCGGGCTGAAAAATGCCCCCACATAACAGTGGTTGTTGGAGAGAAGAGTGTTGGGTAAGCTAAGAGGAAATGTGTGCTTTGTTTACATAGATGACATAATGTTCTACTCCCCAAGCCAACAGCAACACTTCAAAGATCTCAATGCTGTTTTTCAGAAATTGTGATACTGTGACACTGCTGATGTTGATTTAGAGCATTTGCATATGCATGTTGTTTGAGGGGGAATTAGGAGGCTTTTGTTGGTGACTTTTATTATGATGAGCCAGCCCATAATAAGGAAAGGGCGGCCATTTTTATTGTGG